GTTTGATTTTATCATTAGGATCTGTAGGAATTATATTATTTTTTATTATATTCTTCATTATCAATTCATCGATTTTATAAGAGGAAGACATGAAATTACGGTAGTACAGTATAATATCCTTCTTTTTGTTGTTATTATTGTCATTATTAGTGTTGTTGTTATGGGTGTCGACATTGTTATTTTCGTTGCTATTATTTTCAGGGTTATTACAGATGCCGTTGATGTTGTTGTATCTATCATTGTTGTTATTGTTGTTGTTATTGTTATTGAATTTATTGTTAACCTGAATAATGACTTTTTCAATCTGATTTAGGTTGTAGTTATTGTTAACAAGTAATTTAGTAACACGTTTGATTTCCGATTGAGCATGTTCAACTGTTGTCGAGTGTGTAAATGCGCGATTAATGAATGATCTAATTGTGCTGATTTTATAATCTTCAGTGCACTCACTTATTCCATTTAAGCAGATGCCTTTATTGGTATTTTTTATGTAAACAGAAGTTGTAAAATTATGGTTGTCATGTTTAACAAGAACATCAAGGAATGGTAGAGATCTATTGGCTTCGTGTTCTATTGTGAAATTAATTTTTGACTGGTTGAAGATCATTAAGAGTTGTTGAACATAGTCTAGATTGCTATATGAGATAAAAATGTCGTCTACGTAACGTATATAGATATGTGGTTTAAGTTCCGGATGTTTTTTGAAAGTTTCGCTTTCTAAATATCCTACATAAAAATTGGCAAATAGGACACCCAGTGGCGATCCCATGGCTATTCCATCGATCTGTTGATACAATTGGCCCGTAGGACTGAAGAATGGTGCCTGCATTGTACATATTTTTAACATATTTTTTAATAGATTTTTAGGAATTTTTAATGGAGTCATATGTGAGGAATAAACAGTTTTGATGACAATGTCAATAGTTTCTTTGACTGGCACATTGGTGAACAACGATTCAACATCAAATGGATTTCAACATTTTGAATAGACTTAATTGTAAAGAACTAGTTCAAAATATTAGAAAATCAACCATAAAACTTGTTAATGCTGAATCGTCGGTGGATTTTTTGAACAACTGTATATATATATATATATATATATATATATATATATATATATATATATATATATATATATATACAATATTTATGCTTGTATTATACATACATGTATGAATTTTTATTTTTGAATAAATGGAAAACAACATATTAGAGTAAAAAAATTTTTAAATTTCTATGAAACTTAAAAGGAAGTAAAATTAAATTAATGTGACCCTTGGCTTTGAATGTCAGACAACATATTACCATAATGTGGTGTATGTTTTGTTGTTGTTGTTGCTGTTCTTAAGCAGTGAATTAAATTTATATCAGTAAGTCTGTTTCTGGATTTGTTTTTTATTGCTTGAAGTGCTGAAAACACTGTTTCACATCGGTATGTAGAGCCAAACATTGATAGAACTGGCAGAGCAATATTAGATATAACTTTATAACCTGGCTGTAAAGATATCTGTTTCCACATATCTATAATGTTTGATTGCACTTTTTCAAAATCACACAAATTTATGTCATTTTTTAGTTCCAATAGTTCCAATTCTGCAAAGTCTATTTTATCATGAGATATGATATGATTCAATGAATTTAAATCATAAATAAAAGGATTTATGACAAATTGGAAAAGCATTTTTTTACTTTCAAATTCCTCAAACCTGTTTTCAAATTTTGTTACTAAAACATCCACTCTTTCAGATAATTTTAGTTCTTTCATATAAAAATAATTAGGATCAACCTCTTTTAACATTTTCTCTAGCTGAGTGAAATGTGTCAATTTATTCATTTGTAAATGTGCACTGAACAGATTTAGTTTTTGTTTGAAACTTGTAATATATCTATATAATTCAGGCAAAGTCTTATTTTCTCCTTGAAGCTGAAGGTTCAAGTTGTTCAGATGTATAGACATATCTGTTAAAAAGCCTAAATTCAAAAGCCAAACTGGATCATTTAATTCATCATAATCTTTGCCTTTAGATTTCAAAAAACTTTGAATTTCTGTTATAACTTCACAAAATCTCAACAGAACTTTAGCTCTTGATAACCAACGAATTCCTGATGCAAAATACAGTGATAGGATACAAAATCTGGAAAATTATGTCTATTTTGTAACAAGGCTATGGCTCCATTATGTTTTCCTATCATTGCAAGTGCACCATCAGTTGTAATTGCAGATAATTTTTGGATATTTATTTCATATGTTTTTAATAATTCATAGATGGCACACAATCCACACAATCTTTCATGACATATCTGATATAAATTGCTAGTTGTGCAGTATCCTTAATGTCAGTAGTTTCATCAATTGCCAAGCTGAAAATGAACACTCACTAATGTCTGCTAGGATTTGTTGCTCAATATTCATTGATGATTTTGTAATTCTTGTACAAATAGTTTGACGATTTAAAGGTATTTTTAAAAATTTCAAATATTCTATTCTTTTCTATTTGGGAACAGTTCATCACATGCTATTTTAAAGCAATCTTTGATAATGGAAACATCACTAAATGGTTTTTCGAGCCATTGCCAATTGCCAAGCAATTTTAAAAGATGCTCTTGTATAATCATCTAGAGAAGTGTGCTTTCTCAATTCCTCTTGCTGATGCCCTAACTTTTTAATACATTCTCTCAATTTATTCTCTCTAATTTTTGAGTTAATAGGAAATTTTTTATTCCAATCTTTGTGTGATGTTTTAAAATGTCTTCTAACATTATACTCTTTAACCACTGCTATGGTTGTGGAATATATCACACATACAATTATATTATTTACAAAAATGCAAAAATATTGTTCTGACCAATCGTCTTTGAACCTTCTAACGATGTCAACTTTATTCTTTCCAGAACACCTCGTTTCATTACTAATTTTAATAGAACTACTGTTTTCATTTGTATCTTCAGTTATTTGAACTGATTCATTTATGAAAAGACTAACATAGTGATTTTTTTTCTCTCCAGAATTTATTTCTGTGTAACCTAAATTTATAGGTTTAGCATCAAAACTTTGATTACCTATTTTAATAATTACATTCACTGGTCGTTTAGAGTAGCTTGCTGCTGCTTCAATTATGATTCCATCACCCCAATTATGATCTTTACTCATCATGGTCAAATAATTATCTAAACTTCCATATTCGGAAAAAATTATTTTAATATTTTCTTCCGATTCAACCTGCATTTATAAAAATTTACTGTGAGACATTATAATTATTTCTTTTCAGCATCAACTTTTATTATAATATTCATTATATTGATTTAAAATATTAAAATCATACCAAAAAACTGTGACTTCAAATATGATCAACAAGATCTTTTCTTACAGCAGAAGCATTGGACATGGGGATACCAATCTGGTCTGCAATTGCAGAAAATAAACAGTTCCCATCTTCTGGAGTATTATTTACTGTATAATTGTTGAACTCTTTTTGACAATTTGTTTGACCTATATTCCCAGAATCGAATCATCAGCAAAATAAAATGTGATTAAATGTTGAATATAAATAAATATATATATATATATATATATTATTGTCATTAAAATTTACGAAGCGCTTATTAAAAATAATAGTGTTAATTTTTCAAAAGCGCTATCCTATAATTAACAGAAATAGCTGAAAAAGTAGATAAAATAAACCACAAATAAATCAGTTCACAGTTATTGATTAAATAAATGAGTCTTCAAATTCTTCCTAAAGTTTTAAATTCCTGAATTGCACACCCTCAACGACCGTGGCAAACCATTCCATACAACCGCCCCCCACACTGCAATATTTCTTGCTCCTATCTGCAAACGAAAAACAGGCACAACCATCAAATTATCATCATCAGATCTTAGACTTGTGCCAATACGCAAATTTGATCTCTTCTTATTGAACTTGCATGTCAAATATTCTGGCGTAAATCCATTTAAAACCTTGTACATTACCATACAAATTTTATATATTATCCTTTTATTGACAGTTAGCCAATGTAGGTTCCTCAAAATTGGCGTAACGCGATCAAATTTAGCACCACCTGCAACAATTTTAGCAGCTCTATTCTGGATGGACTGAAGCATCACAATCGATCTGTTTGGTAAACCATAAAACAAGCTATTGCAGTAGTCCAAACTTGAATGGACGAACCCGTGCATTAATGACTGTAATGTTGATTTGTTCAATGATTTTTTAACTCGATTCAATCTTTGCAGTTGGAATGAACATGTCTTCACAATTGTTTTTATATGATCATTCATAGTTAGTTTGGTGTCAAAAATACACCCCAAATTTGTAGCCCTATGGCAAAACTGAACATTTTCATTTTGTATTATAACTGAATTAATACCAACCCTTGATAACTGCTGCCAGGTGCCTATATATATATATATATATATATATATATATATATATATATATATATATATATATATATATCAATAAAAAATATTACTCCTTAAAAAATAAACTTTAAAAGTGAAATTAAAAACGGTTTTTTATACTTTTCTATAACAATTTACAGTTGTTACTCCAGCTACAATGCTATATTTATGCATTTTCAAACCATTAAATGTCATCAAAGTTTGGCACTCTAATAACTAACTCTATTTTTTTAATCTTTTTTAACGACCATTTTTCCACATAATAATGCAGGTTAGACGCTTCCCCAGAGCCCATCAACAGGTGTACATTGGCTTTTCTAGGGTTTCTTTCAACATTATGGGCAGTATCAAAAGTGATCTAAAAGAAGTGAAAATGATCTGTACATTCCTTTCCTAAATAGGAACCACCCTCAATATCGACAGTTTTAGGACTAATCCAGGTCCAGGCAGTTTTAGGACACATCTAGATCTACCTATCAATCAATCAATCATCTAATTTTAAATTTAAAACATTTAAAAATTTTAAAAAACCTTTAGTTTTCTTTGACATTTTTTAAACATTTTGCCTATTTTGTTTGATGCAGGCCGCTTCATTTTAATTTTTTTAGCGTAAAGCAGACAAAAATCAAAATTAAAAAAATTCACGAAAAAACGAAATTAAAGATGAGCGGGAAACTGCATATATATATAATAGCATAGAAAACAAACCATGGAAAGCTGTTTGTGCTAAATTTTTTTGTTTGATATTGAATGCAAATTTTAAAGATGTATAGGACCACCTGAGGGCCTCTTACCATAAATTTTTTTTAAAGTGGTAAGAGTCAAAACAATAGAGCAAAGGGCCACTTTTGGCCACTGTTTTAGCACCACTGATTTAAAGCATGAGGCTTTGTGTTAGGTTAAGCAGATTTTGAATAGTTCAGTGTGGTTTTACTGCGGAAGGAGATTTATCCTTTTCTGAATGTTTAGAGGATTCAGAGTTGACTTTGCTGCAAGGAAGGCTTGTTGTTTGTAGAGTTTTATCCATTCCTGCCTGGTTAGATGATACAATGTTCAATTTGCTAGGCGGATGGCTTTTTTCCTCATTGTGACGTTTATGAAAGGTCCATCATCTGTAGGAGAGTCAGGGTATTCTGACCAGGGATGTATTCCTGACACTGATACAGCATTGCTATTGTTCTCTTTGTTTTTAGTAGTTAATGCTGGTGTTTTGATAACAGAGGAAATCTGGTTAAGATTTTCAGAAAATTTTTTAATACCTGATGCTAACATATCACAACTACAGTATTTGTCCATTTGTTTGTACTTAGAGAATCATCATTTGAGTGCAACTGGCACGTCAACCATCCTAGTTGAGTCAATGCTTGTCCAGCTGTTTGGAGCAATTCACCAACTCTTTCCGTTGAAGACATTTCATTTTAGAATTACTCCAACTTCATAAATTTTCCAAGTAAATACGGCAAAAGTCAATGTATTTTCTTTGCCGAATATTTTTATATTTTATTTTACGAAAATCCGGAAAAAGTCACTAGCAATATTTAAAATGACAAAAGCGATGTTTACACCACCATTACAAACCAAAGAATATATATATGTCGGAAATTTTGTTCGCATGTGTGGTGTCTGTCTGTGCGAAAGAGAGGTAATCTCTTTCTCTATCTTTTTCAGGGAATTTTTTTATGGTCCGACAATAATTTTTGTATATTTTTATCGTGAGTTCGACCAGTCCTGTGTGGCACTGGGCTTTTTCGAATTATAGATTTTACTGAGTAACACACGAACGCGTAAAATATTCGATAACAATTTTATTAATCGACGGAAGTAAATGAAAAGGAATTGAACTAACTGAACTCTAGAATAATGTTAAAAATAATGTCAATGAACAAACTGGAATACAGGAATTAGAACTTCTTCTTGTTGGGGTCGGGCAACTTGGGATATGTTTCTTGCCGTTCAATCGTACAACCTCGACGTGTGTGACCGATGGTGGTGCTGATACAACTCCGAGAGATAAATGAAATGAATGAAGAAAAATTACAAAAATCAGAGCCTATGGGAATTCCAAGCTGCGTGCGAAACTATACCAATGAGTATAGAATCCAGCAAAGAACCCTAGGTCCACAAATAGCACAACATAAACAAAACAACGAGGCGGGTTCGTTTTCACAGAATTCAAGTCTTGTTTTCACTGGGCCTGTCAGTCGGTCGGTCGGCTTTCGCACAGCCCTTGTTGATGTTGTTGTAATGGTCGTTGGTATCTCTAACATGGTTAACATTGTTGTTGGTAGTAACATGGTTGTTGGTGGTGGTGGTGGTAACATGGTTGTTATTGTTGTTATTGGTGGTGAGAGAATTATTAATTAGTTTAGATAACTGTGAATCGGAAGTACTGTTATACTTTGTAGCTGAACATTTAATTTTGGATTTTTTATTTCTATTAATATGGCTTCGGCTATCTATAAGGTGAAAGAATCGGAGTTTTTGTAAAAAAACATTTGTGTTATTGTCGAGAATTGAACGTGTTAATGTTGTATTATGTGTTGTTTCTATATGAGATTTGATCGCACCCTCTCTTTTGTGCATTGTAAGTCGATGAGAAAGTTGAGTGGTTGTCATTCCTATATATGAAGAAGTTTGGTGCACACAGTTACCAATGGGGCAGGAAAATTCATATATAAGATGACTATTTTTCATTGTGGAATTGTTGTTGGGTTGACAGTTATTTTTGATTATCATGTGTGATGTTTTGGCGTTTTTATAATATATTCTTAACTTAACTTTGCAATTGGGATTGACGGGTTTGATATTGTTGTAAATTTGTTTTCTTAAAATGTTTTCATCTGTTTTATATGAAGTGGACATGATGTTGCGGTAGTGAAGAATAATATCTTTATCATTATTATTATTATTGTTGTGGATGCTGTTGGTAGTATTGTTATTGTTATTATTATTGGCGTTATTGTAGTAGGTGTTGTTTTGGTTACTAAAGTTGTTGACTATGATGTTGTGATTAGTATCTGGATTATTGTTGTTATTATTGACTTCATCGCTGTTGTTGTTGACAATGCTTTCGTTATAATTATTAGTATTATGAATAATATTGTTATAGTGATTATTGTGATTATTGTTGAAATTATTGTTGTTGTTATCGTTATCAATATTAAGATTACTGTTATTGTTGTTGTTATTAATGATGTTATAGTTGGCAATGGAGTTATCATTATCAATAGAAAGGTTATTGTTGTTGGTGATAATATTGCTACTGGTAACTCTGTTGTAGTTATTATTATTGTTGTTACTGATATTTCTTAATTTAAATTTAATTACATTGTTAATATCTGATATTTGATAACCATTATTAACAAGTAATTTTTTAATGCGATTCAATTCTGTTTTGATGTCATTTTGAGTAGTTGAGTGTGTTATTGCTCGGTTGACGAAGGCTTTGATAGTATTCAGTTTATATTCTTTCGTACATTCATTTTGTCTATTAAGACAAATTCCTTTGTTGGTTTCTTTCACATAAACTGAAATGTTGAAATTACGTTCATCATGTTTAACGAGCACATCCAGAAACGGTAATGATTTTTCTATTTCTAATTCAATTGTGAATTTAACTTTTGTATGATTAAACGTGGTAACGAGTCCATTGATCATGTCTTATTCATCATATGCGACAAAAATATCATCAACATATCGAGTGTAAATGTGTGATTTTAAATGTGGATGTTGTTCAAACGTCTTGTTTTCTAAATGTCCTAAATAAAAATTAGCGGAAAATACTCCTAGTGGCGAACCCATGGCTATACCATCAATTTGTTTATACATTTTTCTTGTTGGACTTATGAAGGGTGCCTCGGTTGTACAAATTTCCAAAAGCGATTTGAGATGAGATTTGAAAATTTTGATGGGGGACATATTTGAATTGTAAACCGTATTGATAATGATGTCAATTGTGTCTTTCACCGGTACGTTTGTAAATAAGGATTCCACATCAAGTGATACAATGTATTTGGCTGATGAATTAGTATTTAAAATTTCGATGAATTCGCGTGAAGATTTCAAGTTGTAATCGTTGGGAACATAAGGAGTCAAGAGTTTACATAGTAATTTGGCTATTGGATATGTTAAGGTAGGAATCTGGCTAATGATAGGTCTCAATGGATTATCAGTTTTATGAGTTTTCACATTACCATAAATGTAACCAGGTTGGAATTCGCCAAAAAGAGGAGGAATTTTATCATTAGGACAATGTCTGTTCATTTGGTGGATGATTTTGTTGAGTTTGACTTTTAGTGATGGTGTAGGATCAGTTTTTATTATTTTAAATTTAGTGGTGTCGTTTAATATTGTGTTCAATTTTCCAAAATAATCATCTTTATTTAGAATGACATACATTGATGCTGTTATCCGTCATGCTTTATCAGCATGACGGATAACAATATTTTGGTTTTGTTTCAACTGTTTGGCGGCATTTCTCATTTCCTCTGTAATTAATTTGTTATTAAAATTGCCTCTTTGCTTTTTGGATTCAGCTTGTAACTGAATGCCAATCGAAGGATTTATGGTAATTAAATTTTTCTCTTCACATATATATATATATATATATTTATTTACACATTTTATTAACCACAAAAAAATGGCTTGGAGACCATACAAGCTTATTAAGCTTTATATATATATATATATATATATATTTATTTACACATTTTATTAACCACAAAAAAATGGCTTGGAGACCATACAAGCTTATTAAGCTTTATAGGCCACCAAAAAGAAAAAACAGAAACAATTTCAAAAATTATCAAGCGCATATAACATAATTTGTTCGTACAACTGTTTGACACAAAATCATAGCACACTGCACATAAAGTAAACGTTCGTAAAACAAAATGATAATGAAATGAAACTAAAATTTGATCCTTATAGTGTTATCTATAAATTGTAAGATCATACAACAAATTATAATTCAAACTAAGGCCAATAAATAAGTACTAACATACATTCATGACATGCTTTCAAAAAATAACAACAATAAAATTAAAATGTTCAATCATATGATTTTGCATGAATAAACAACAAATTGAATTCAAACTAAGTCCATGAATAAATATCAACAAACATTCAAAACATACATTCAAAAACCAACAGCAATAAACTCAAAAATGTTCAATTATATCAGCATATTAAATTTGAAATAACATAGATTATTTGGAGACATATAATAATATTTTATTAGAAAAATCAGAAATGCTATTTTATAATTTGAACTCTGAAGGTATATATATATATATATATATATATATATATATATATATACCGTACTTGCCAAAGCAGGGCGGAAATTCTCACCCAACATATTTATATATATATATATATATATATATATATATATATATACTGTAAATTCTCTTTTTAACCGTTATATATATATATATATATATATATATACTGTAAATTCTTTTTTTAACCGTAAGCCAATCGAAAGTAAAATCAGAATAAAAACTGAAAGCATAAAAATAGAATAAACAAAAACAAACAATGAAGCGTATACAGCTACAGGCGTTGATACTCTAAAGGATATTACGTTTTCAACATAAAGAAAACTGAATAAATAAATTTAGATCATTAATATGATAAAATATAACATACCTAAAATGTATATATCTGTATAACATCATATTACATTAACTTAATGACCACTGCTTAAAAAACCAAACGTCAATTCCTAAGCACTGCCGCTTATTTTCGAATAATCTGACAGCTCTAATTAATCTCGTCTGTTCACCCTCTGTGCCCTTCTCATCCATCATAAATGTTTTCAAAAATGCTTATTAACTTAAATAAATTTTCTTAATCAAATAAGAACAAGGACCAACAATAACTTCATCGACAGACACAACTATCGTTTGAAAACTTCTACATTTATTTCTACGATCATAAAATGAATGGCAAAAATAACCATGAAGCTTTCCTGGGCCCGACAATGGTTCTGATTCTTTCTTTTTTGAATTTTATAGCGTCAATCATTTTTCTGCTAGTAAAATTCATTCTTTGTTGCTCTAAAATTATCAAGAAAAAAGTTAAACTTAACTCTAATTTTACTACAACCTTCTCTTTGATCGCCATCTTCGTCCTCCTCTGTAATGCAAATTTACGTCATTCATCTTCACTGCATTTAAATAATTATTTTATATTTGTAAAATACATTTTCATACAACATGTATTGGTGTTTTTTTTCATTCAACTTCCTGATACAAATTTTCGCTAAAGTTATCATCTGCATTTGAATAAAGGAAAATGTTACTTCAAGTTATCTGTTTGGGTAGCAAGGCTCGGTAAATTTTATCCTGGTCAATCTTGTAGCATTTTCTGTTTTTTTGTTACAAAATAAATCTCGTTTCGTTTGTGTTCGTTAATGATAACACTTTAGGAATGAACAAAAAACAAACGAACGAACGTAACTGAACAATAACTGAATGACAAAACGAAAAAATTAATTTGAAATTTGTTGGACAGGAGGACTACATAAAATGGAAGGGGGTGATGTTCTTCAGGCTCCTCAGGTGCGCTGTTGATGAAGAACCTCAAGTCAAAAAAACTGGTTAGTTCGTTTGTTTGGCTGGTTGTTTGTTTGATTGATTAGTTGGTTGGTTGGTAGGTAGGTCGGCTGGTTGGCTAACTGATTGACTGATTAGTTGATTTATTGGTTGATTGTTTGGTCTGATGATCGGTTGGTTGGCTGAAGGTTCATTGGTTTGGGTAGTTAGTACTGAACAGAAAACATTGAGATATGTTGAAACGAGTAGGTGAGCAAAAATATAGATGCTTAAATGAATTTTCAATTCATACCGAGAGATAAACATGAGATTGAAGTTGTCAGAAATGGATTGGAGTTTTGAGTGTTTGGACGGCACGTTGATATGAGATGAAGTACATGTAGGCCAACAGGTTCCTACTATAAATCGAGGAAGGATGGAAGGGGGAAGATCTTGAAGTGGACCAAGCGTGTCCCGGCTGGAGAGGTGAGGGAGCAACAAAAAGAAAGACAAATTATCTTAAGGATGGCATTTTTACAATTTTTTTTTAATTTTTTCTGTTTTACTTATTTTATAAAATTTTTTGCAAATCCACATACATCAGCATGCCTGGCACTAAGAAGTGTTCTGAACAAGAAGTTGGAGAATTTGTATGTGCAACATTTCGTGGAGAGCATCTTCTATTTCAACGCCTACTACAAGTCCAATAGTTCGTTTCGCTTTGTTGATATCGTCATGTGAATGACGAAGTTGTGTTGTTGATGTCTGGTTGTTGATGTTATTATTTCAGTAGTTTTGACATTATTGTTTTGTTGCACTCATACACATAAGGCCCTCTCATTCTTTAATCACTTTATAAATTATTTAAAATTCTTAGGTTTAAACCTCATTTGTCCTTATTTTGATTCAGATGTGTTTACTGATGTTCTGACATCTTTGATTTTTATTTGATTCCATCAGTGATGCTGTAAAGTTTCAAAGTTACATAGACAGATTGTGGATGTTTAAACAACATAAACATTGTTTACGTTGTTTTGTTCTTGGACAAATTATTGATTTTGTTTTTGAACAAATTTTTAATGTTATTTTGTTTTTTATATTTTCTCTCCATCTATCCACCCTTACATTCATCCATCACTCTATCTATCTATCCATTCATCTATCTATCCATCCATCCATTCGTTCATCTATCTGTTCATCCATCCGTCCATCCTAGCATTCAACAGGCAGGTTGAAAATGAGGAGCAAGAAAAAAAGTTTGTTCTTCCCGGAAAGACGAATGAGGCGTGAGTACTTAATGTTGTTGATGTCAGGCAGGGATGTTGTTGATGTCAGGCAGGGATGTTGTTGATGTCAGGCAGGGATGTTGTTGATGTCAGGCAGGAATGTTGTTAATGTGACGTGGTCGCTGGTTTATTGTATGTTGTTGTCGCTATTGTTGAGGTAACGATGATGATGAAAATGATGTGATAAAAGTAATAAGCTAATGATAGCAGTAATAAGGTTTTAATGGTGAATGGGATGGTGATGGTGACGATAATGTGATTGGTGATGATGATGACGAAGGTGGTGATTTCATTCGAGGCAGGAAGCGTCGTGAATTGTACGAGATGATGTTGCAAAATATGAACGACAGCCACAAGTTTCAATGTCTTCAGAAGATGATCAATGAAGTTAGATCAACATCTTCTATGTGTTGTTTTTCCACTAATTGGTTCAATGATGTTTCAATCATTGAGTTTTATGTTAATTAGTTGAATTTTTCATCAAATCATCAAATACTGCATTAAATTTTTTCACCAAGTTGTTTATATTGAATTCAGAGCTCTGTTTATTCAATCTCCCTTCATGAAATGTGGTTTAATGTACAAATATTCTCTCAGCTTGAATTTTGTTTACTTTATTTGCTGTATACTCGTACGTTTTGTTTCCTTCTCAACAGTGGTAAAAAAATTCACTCACCTAATGAGTTGAATGAAGCGTGTTGTAGTCTGAAGTTCAATTGGAATGAAACTTTTGTACATGCAGGTCTTGTTGTCCTTTGTGGACCAGCTGATTACGCTGGATGACCGATCTTCTGACGTCATGAGTGACGTCCTGCACTGTCTCTCGTCGAAGGTTAGTGTTCTCATATTTTTGTTTTAGCTTGTACGTATGTGCTTCCTTAATAGCGCTTCCAGCCGCAAACGTTTATTGAACAGGACATCAAGCTGCAGGTCTTGAGGACCTCAGGCACGGATGAAGAAGATCCTCACGATGACGTCATTGTCGCTGCTCAAAATGTCGCCAAGAAACGATTTGTGTCTCAGGTTTTCACATTCGCAACTTTTTTTATTTTGACACTCCTTGTATCGCTATTTATTTTAAAGCTTCTTATATGCAATATCTAATCAATTGTCTCGTCAATTTTAATACGGAATAATATGGATCTTCTCGGAGTAATGTATTTTTATTTCTTCTTCAATTGAGGCTCTCTCCCCAATTTTAATTTCACAAAAAAAATGTTGCGAGTTTCTATTTATGAAAGTGATGAGCCATCCATTTGACCAAATAAGTGGACTTTCAGAGGAATGTTGCATTACCAATATTTCATGTATATAACTGAAAGGAATTGTTTTTTATGGAGAAAATATTTTTTCGTTATTTCCTTTGTAAAGGGGATGTTGCTGTTCAATTTTCATAACAAATATTTTAGTGATGTTTTATTAGATAAACTAATGACTGATTTATTGATTGATTGACTGCTGATTGGTTGGTTGATTTTTTGGTTGATTTGTTGGTTGATTGACTGACTGATTGATGTAGGTGATGAAGAAGACCGTCATGGAAGCCACTGTGCCTGTCCTCGTCTCTCTCAAACAACTGGTCAGTCTCTTCTGGCTCTCTTCACTAACATTCTTTCGTCTTTTTTAACCTCGAAATTTTATTTTTCTACTTAAAGTATATTGTTTTTAAGAAATAATTTTCAACAATCTACATTTCTATCCAGCACTTGTTAACGTTAATCGTGTTTTTACTTTAGTGCTCTGTTTTGCTTGGTTTCGCGTTAGAACGGATTTTTAATTTCATTTTGTATTTTGGTAACATGCAGCTGGAATCTCGAAAATCTGCAATGTTGAGAGACCTCATGAAATATTTCATCATCCTCGTCAAGGAGTACAAGCCGGAAGTGGAAGGTTTTGTATTATTTTGAATGTAAATAAATTCTATTTAAGATTCTTTTCATGACTTGACGTCGAATCGCTTGTTGCATCAAATGATCATTGAACTGATTGGACACAAACAGCCGCCCTGGCAACGAATCTTCATCTACAGAAGGAGTTGTCTTACGCCATGAAGAGGTTTGAAATGGACGAAGAATCGTGGATGAAGAAACGACTACAGCCCGTCAAGGTTCAAACTTGAAACTTTTTCGTCGACACTTCTCCCACTAACGTCAGTTGGGTGTCTTCTTTTGTCAGGCACAAATAATTTCTTAAGCACAGTTTGTAGTCAAAACATAAAATTGTCGATAAATTTTATTTAATTAATTAAGAAACTAATAACGAAAGCTCAGCACAATAGTGTGTTGTGGTATTGGGATGTTGAACTTGCATGTGAGGGTTAGCCCAAATAATTAGGCGAGCAAACATTAAATTTTTATTATTTATTGTCATGAAAGACTGATGATCACGACACAATCCAGGAAGGCTCTTCAAGTCTCTCCTCTCTGCCAGTCACTCCGTCATTAAAGAACAAAAAGAAAAGGTAACCCAATAGCTCATGCTGATTTAATATAATTATTTAGTTTAAGATTCACTTTAAATTTTGAAATGATGCTCTATGCGTGGGAACAAACATCCCAGTCTTCAATCAGATTGGAGTTACTGGGGTTATTTATTTTTTTTATAAATTTTTTCAATATTAACAATTGATCATGTTGATTTATATAGCGTTTTTTTTAATATAATAAAAACTACCAGAATTTCTTTTTATACTAACATGGATCAATTAATTTGATAATTGGAAAGTAATAATTAATTTGATATTTGTTGATCATAGAGCAATGCCTCTGGCGGTTCAAGCTGTCATCAATTCAGCCAGGACAGTTCTCTCCAGGTCTTTGTTGAACGTTTCCAATCAATCCTTGAATCAATCGTCTAACGAATCATCGCCCAAAGTGACATCCAATCAAAACATGCCAAGTTGCTCCTCAACCGACCGATCCCACGCCAGCCCACAAACATCCTCTCCCACAAACGAACACCCGCTTCCTGACATTAAGAGATTTGCACATCATTCGTCAAACACACCGACACACATCACTAAAGTCTGTTTACTTTCTTAAAAATCCATTCTAGAACATTTCCACTTGCTGTTAGTTCACTTGTTATAAGTTATTGTGAGGTGAAGTATTACTCTTATGAGCTTCTGCATTTAGGACGTTTACATTATTATTGGGTAATATAGTGGTTAAACGCGCCTGGTACCGCGTTACCGAGATGCAGCTCAAATTCAGATATGTTCCTATTGTGGGCAGGTGTGTGAGGCGTGGATTCACGCGTTTTTGCCGCCGCCGCTGCTGTTGATGCTCCATGTCGTTCGTTTCGAAGTACCGCTGTCGCCAGCATTGTATCGCGATACTAATTCGGTGTTGACTCTGGTGTCGACAATACTTTCGATGCCGACTTGGTATCGCCACACATTCGAGATAGAAAAAAAGCGACACTCGGTAGCGATAATTTTGAGCGTCAGGTGGATATATCATCATATAATATAATATATATCATATAATGAATGTCAGGTAGGTATTCATTAATCATTATTTCAATTTTCACAGTTTAGCGCGTTTATTAATTGGTAAATTTGTGATTTTAGATTCAGTTTTGCCATGATTTGTATGTTTGTTGTTAAAAGCTTATTTTGCTCCCGCTGATTCGAACAATTCATCGTTATGAGATCATTTTTGTGTTATATATTAACTACCGATTGTATGAGTTTAGTATGAAAGAAATTTTAACCGTTTTCCTGTAGCTTTTTAAAATGTCTTCAAGATTGTGTTTTCAGAAGATATATGTATGTATGGATGGATACGTAATCATTTTTTACACCGAAAATAAACTCTAATAACATGAAGAAACGCCAAGTTATTTTAATGATGTTTTGAAACGTGAATATCTTGCAATAAGTATCTGTAGCTGCGAAGGCAGACGTTATAGTTGTTTCTTTATGATTATTGAATGAAATTCTTGTATTTCTTATAGTGCATGGTTTGATTGCAACGAATGATTTTGATTAAATTTCAGGGAAGATGTCCAATGAGAGCCATCAGCACGCCAGCAGGTTCATCACTCATGCTTCATTTTTGTATTTCTTCATATGTACGTACTTTATTTCACTCTTATGCCCGTTCGTACGTGCAAATGTTCATCATTGGAATGTTGCACGCAAGCGCATCATTTGATACTGTAATAACCGCCACAAATATATTCGCCAGAGGCGCTATTGTCGCTCGAACGCATGCAGTTCAAGAAGGAACTAGTACCTTCTGACAGCGAGATATCTAGGACGTTCGAGAAGCGTCAGTTAGACTGGTATATAAAGACACGCGGGATGTCAAATAGGGATTGTTAGCGTCGAAAGAGATATTTGATATTTGACTTTACGTTGTATTTTTATCGTATTTGAGATATACGTTAGTGAGTTTTGATTCAAAAAGCGATAGTTTCTGGACGTAAATTCGGTAGTTTGTGAGCGTTAACTTTTATTAGTAAAGTTAATTAACGTTGATTGTTGATTTGTAAATAAATGTTTCACTGGAATAAAACGAGCCTTCGTCGACCGGACAGTTACAACGATACATTTTTATCAATTATTGTAGGAGAAACGTGCGTAAATCATTTTAAGTACACATAAGTACGAACCAAATTAAATACACAAGCTCAGATGCATTCAGACTTTATACGTGTGTTATTCGCCATCAACAATCAACACGTCAATCATTCAATGTTCCCGCCAACATGCGACATTTTTTTTATTATAGATGTGATTAAACGAGGCATGCATTTGAAAAATGTCTTTTTTATTTCAGTAACTTAGACTAGAGATTACATTAGGAGAATAATTACTTTCATATTTGCAATGTTGAAATAAATGTGATGTATATTGGAATAAATATGTTGACCGAGCAGATGCAGGTGGGCAGAACACGACCAACATGTCGTTCGCAGGTAATCTCAGCAGCATTGATCCCGCAATGGTCATTCGAGGTCATTTTTCCTCTACTTTTTTGAAAAATTTTATTTTTGTTTTTTATTATGCAGCTCTGACAAACGCTTGCATATCATTCAGTTGCAGTTGAGCTTTTGTGCCACGAAGACTATAACATCCACAGTACGAAACGTAGGTGGAAGTTTGTGAGTTTTGCAAGCACCGCGTAACGCGCGCCTGGCGTATGATAAACTTGCAATTCGAACAGGTGGTGTCAGGACCAGATCATTGCGCAACAACAAATCCACACGTGGCCTTTCTAACGTCAGAGCTAATTCGTTGCCTTTATATTGACTAAACCAATAAATGAAAACGACGCTGATAAAATAATGGTGCAAACAAAGCGATTTTCAATTTTTGTAATGTTTTTTATTTTATTTCTTTCCTCACTCAGTCCTGGCTTAGTTGTCTTTCAACTCTTATAAAATAGATGAATGATATAATTGTCCTGGTATATTAACTTAAACGATTTCGTTTATATAATTTATATCATAAAAGGTTTCAACAAGTTGTCGGTTGTTGAAGACGAATGAAAGAAAAATTGACACTTGCTACTCTGAAACTCTGAGAATGTTTTATATTGCTCTGAAAATTTGTTTTTTATTTTCACAATCACGTTTTAATTGTTTTAAATGAATAAATTCTGCATTTCATAAATTTGTAGCCTTGTTATTGCGAAACTAAATTTACAACTGAAAGATCAGCGGGCCGCTTATTTTGGCTGTGGATTTCATTAACTTTTTGAAGAATTTTTGCAGTGGGAATTGTTAGATAGAACGGACGAATGGATAAATATGAACGAAATTCTTTCAATTTAAAGTCTAAAAACGTCTCAAAATCTTGTGAAACTTTATAGCGTCTTGCAAAGCCTTTTTATGTACTGATGTGAAGGTTTGCACAATAATGAAACAAAAAACATTATTTTGACGGAAAGTATTTGGAAATAAAATGCAAGTTATATTTCTTACGCTTGGAAAACTTCATATGCATTTTGAGAATAAATTAAAAAATAGAAATCCATCAAACTGTACCAGGTCTTTTTCCCGTGTCTTTGCGCCTTAACATTACATCTTTTTCAAAAATTTTCAGAACTTCTCGAATATTAGATTAGAAAGTCTACTACAACATGTTTGTTCGCCTACGCTTAATAAGGGCAATATCCTCGACCTGCTGATAACACCTAAGGATCAATCAATCATCGTTTCAACAGTCAAAGTCTACCCGACATCTTTTTCCGATCAGAACCTCATCACAACTTCCGTCTACGCTCCTCGACTCAACATTACATCCGAATATTAAAAAAGTAAATTGGTTAAAATTCAATGATGATTTACTCTCCTCATCAATCCTGGAATGTGATAAACCACTCATCAATGTGCATCTCACATCAATTCAATAGTTTCCCAGACACTTGACAAACATGCTCCATTAAAAACGGGTTTTCCGTAAAAACCTAGATACGTACAACCAGGTATCAGATGACGCCCATAATGCTAAAAGATACAGGCGTAAAATGGAGGGTGTATACATGAATAACAAAACTATAATTAATAAACTAAATTATGTTAATGCAAACAATTTGGCCCGTTCTTGGACCTCTGCTTATGATGTGATTGTATAGAATATGCGTCTTTGATTTAGAAGAAAGGAGAAACTTCTGACGTTGTTACTAGGTGCAAAGTAGTTTCCGAAAATTGATGGCAGCTGGTTTGAGACTTGTTTGTATACAAATATCATTGTGCAAAATGTGCATGTTTGATTAAATTTAAATTTTTAGTTAATTTAAATAAGGATTGCGCATTTTCATATTTAGTTGATAAGGTGATACATCTAATTGCTCTTTTCATAAAATAATAGAAAAAGTAGTTTTTAATCAATTGTCATCTTATTTAAACTCTTACTCCTTGCTACCTGTATCTCAATCTGGTTTCATACCTGCTCACAGTACTGAAACTTTTTTACTCAAAATACACAATGATATCCTTCTCTCTAGTGACAATAGCAATCTTACTCTTTTTCTTGCTCTTGACTTTTCCTCAGGTTTTGATACTGTTAATCATGCTATTCTCTTGAGACTGCTACATCTTTCTTTTAATATTACTGATTCTTGTCTATCTTGGTTTTCTTCTTATCTCTGTAATCGTTTTTCTTCTGTTGTACTCGATAATTCCACTTCTAACTCTTCTACTCTTACTTTCGGGGTACCTCAGGGTTCTATCCTTGGCCTTCTTCTATTTATACTCTATACCTCTGAACTACCTCGTATTATTAATAACTTTTCTTTTTCTAGTCAACTTTATGCTGATGATTCTTACATTTATACTTCTTTTCCTCCATCTAATCTCAATAGTGTTCTTCATAATCTATCTCTATGTCTTTCTTCAATTATCGCTTGGTCTGACTCTATTTGTCTTAAACTTAATCTTTCTAAATTTGAATTAATTTGTTTTAATAAATCTAAACACTCTATTACTATTTCTCCTATTATCTTACCTCATTCTAAAACTCTTGATATCTCTCACAAGTTTCGCAGTCTAGATTTTATCTTTGATTCTACTATGTCTCTTTCTTCTCAGATTAATAGTGTCGCTAGAAGTTCTTATTTTCATCTACGTAGAATAAAAAAAACTTTTGCCTTTTCTTTATGATTCTTCTCTTCTTCTTGTTACTTCGTTAGTCTTATATAGGATTGATTATTGTAACTCGCTCTACTATGGTCTTCCTGATTCTATACTCTATCCTTTAAGTAAAACTTTTAACTCTGCTGCTCGTTTAGTTGCTCGTGCCCCTTCTTTCCTCATATATCTCCATATCTTGTTCTCTTGAACTGGCTACCTATAAAATATAGAATAATTTTTAAAATTTGCACGTTTATGTATTAGTCTCAATCTAAATTATTTCCAAAGTATTTATCAGATATATTAATTGAAACTAAATGCCCAGGTTTACGATCGTCTTCTTGTTTTTACTTCTTCTTAACTCGTGTTAAACACTCTTTTGCCATATCTGCTTTTGCTTTTTCTTGCCTTTCCTCTGGAACTTTCTACCTACTTCTCTGGCTACTTCTCCATCCATCACTTACGAAGTTCAGAGCGGATCTCAAGACTCATCTGTTTTTAAAATTCATTGAGGAGCGCTGTTGAACATCGCGGAAATAGCGCTTTACAAGCTAATTGATTGATTAATTGATTGGTAAGTTTTTCGACTGAGCTGAATCTAAATTGCAGTAAGTTGCATGAGGGATACACAAAGCATTGTATAGCATATTTAAGCATCTTTTCGGCAAGAAAAACTTTATTTTATTTATTAAACAAATAGATTTGGCTAATTTTGAGCAGAGTCTATGTGTGGACGAAAGGATGATTTCTGATTCAGAAAGACACCCAAAAACTTGACTACTTTATTTTCAATGATGTCAAAACCATTTGTTACGATTTTGAAAGGTTCTTTATAATTTAAATAATTTACTGGACCAAACAATAATCTGAGTTTTTTTCATATTTATTGTTAATTTATTATTTTTAAACCAGTTGCTAATATGCTCAATTTCTAGGCTTGTTTTTGCAATCAATTCATTCATGTTTTTGCCTACACTGAAGACATTAGTATCGTCTGCGAAGCAGATATAATCAAAAAAGGTTGAAAAATCTGGCAAGTCGTTTATGAAGATAACAAAAAACAGGGGCCCCAAAATTGAACCTTACGGAACCCCAAATTTGTTGAACCCTATCGTTGACACTTCATTATTCCATTTTACAAATTGATTTCGATTTGAAAGATAACTTTGCATCCATTTTAGTGTTGTGCCTCTTATTCTTTATTTTTCAAGTTTTCCCAGAAGTATCCTTTGGTCTATACAATCAAATCCTTGGTAAGATCTAGGCACGTACCAACGGCGTAATTTTTATTTTATGTCTCTTTCCAAATTTTACGGAGTAATTCTATGATAGCTAATTCTGTTGAATAGTTTTGTTTAATTCGAATTGAGAATTCATTATCAGATGATTTTTTCTAAGAAAAGGATGAGCCTAGTGTGCTTCAACTTTTCGATAATTTTGTATAAAGCAGGTAAAAGAGCGACATGTCAAAATCAGACTTTCCTCTTTCTTTTGCAATGGGAATAATTTTAGCCGTCTTGAAACAAGAAGGAAATTGACAGATTAATGAGATGTTCAAACACATGTGCTGTTGATCGGATGGTAGCCGTAACAATTTTGCTAGATATTTCATCTAATCCAAATGACGATTTAGTCTTGATTAGCTTTGCTGTGGTTATTATTTCTTTTGTTGTAGTTTGGAATCTGATGAAGAATTGCTTCTTTCCATAATTGATTGTCAGGTAAAAATTATTTAAAAATTTTGCAGGTGATGCTAAAATTTGTTCATTTTCTGTGATCGATGTAGGATTAATCTTTTTTTGTCTGCTTGTTTATCTATTAATTATTGACCAAGTTTTTTTCGAGTCATTTATATTTTTGTCCAATAAGTCACAGAAATATCGCCTTTTGAGAAAAGATTTAATCTTGTTGCATATTTGACTTTGTGATTTAAATTTTGGAAAATTTTCAAAATTTAAATTTTTAATGTACTTTTTGTATAAATTTTTTTTTTCTTCAGCATTCTGCAAAATTTGGTCGTTACCCTAGGTTTTTGTTTTAAAATTTTGGTAAACTTTCCTGATGACGTGATATGACAACAGTCTTTAAACGCCAAACGGAAAATGCTGGTGAAATGTTCAAAAGCAGCATCTACATGTGAGCACAGTAGCACATCTGTCCAGTTCATTTAGTTTATTAATTCTGTGTCTTAAAAAAAGAATATTGATTTTTTTGGTTTTCAGATTTTATTTTCACTAATTGTTGCTTGAAACACACAAATATGGGTGAGTGATCAGAAATGTCTGTCAAATACATTCCAAAAATTGTAACGTCTTCCGATGCATTGGTGAAAATATTGTGGACCAGAGAGTTTTTTGTATGTTTATTCTTGTTGGTTTATCTTTTAATGCCTTTAGATTATAAGATGTCAGTAGATGTTGGAGTTGACTATTGCTAGATTCATAGTTTTCAAGAAAATTTATATTCAAATCTCCGGTTAAATAAACCAGTTTTTTCTCATTGTTTATGGCTAGCAAAACTTATTCAAGTTGGTTCACATAAAATTTTTTGTTGTAATGTGGTGTTCGATACGTAACAATAATAACGAGTTGTTTTCAGACGAGATTCCTACTTCAATTGCAAATAACTCTAGTTCATTTGAAATCATCAATTTATTTCTTATCTTAAATATAATACCATCTTTTACAAAGAGGCCGACTCTATCTCCGTTTCTACCTGAACGATTTTTGCCAACAAAATTGAACCCATTAATCACAATCGCATCTTTATTTATATTGTTCAGCCACGTTTCGGTAATAGCTATGACATTAAAATTGAAATCAAGACTAGTTAAATAGTCCTTTAAATCTATTGATTTACATATTTACCAAGCTCCTTATATTTATATGCATTAAATTAAATGTTGTATTAGTTGTCAAATTTATATTTATTATTTATTTCAGCAAAGTTGTAAAATGTTTTGCATTTATTAACAAAAAAATCATTATCTACAATTAAATTAGCCATTTTTAGAATCTAACTTTTTTTCATTGAATTTCCATTCTCTCAAAATGATGTGCTGCAGCATTACTTCCGGATCTTTTATTTTACATTCGTCTGTCTTCTCAACGCAAACTCTAAATATGGTTGAATGTTCGTCCTTGTTGTAATTGCTTTGTTGCCAGTTTCGTCAGTTCGCTTTATAACTGGAAAACATGAAATCATGTTTATACTACTTATCTGCAAGAACTCCACAACATCATCTCTGTGGCTTTTCTTTATATTTCTTAGGCAAAAAACTTTCTTTTCCATGATTATTTTATCAGGTTGTAATTTTATATTTTCCATAATTTTGGTACCGATAATCTTCACAGGTTTTTTTGATTGTTCCAATTTGTTAATGTTCTCATATGATTTATTTTTAACTGGGTTTACAACGTTTTTATTATTTTCAACAGAACTTGTACTGAGTCTGGTTCTATTTTATTTTCTTTTTGCGACCATTGCATAGGTTTATAACATATCGCTTGGTGTTTGTACAGCGTCTGACCAAGGTATATTGTTGTTAACGTTCACGAAATTGTTTTTAGCTGTTTCAGATTCATGCAAATTACCGGCTGGATATTTGTTAATCAGGTTTGTACTATCTACGCTGTGTTTATTATTACTGCCGTGTACAGACATGTTTTCACAATTTATTCATTTCCGTTAATTCATTCAATTTTTCACCATTTTGTCATTATTTGTCTGAATAATATCTAAAATATTCTCTAGAAATTCTCTTCTCTAGAAATTCTACTTGGATTCAAGATAACAAAAGTCGGCAAATTTTGTTGTAAATCATTTGAAACGATATATTTGAATATTTCAACTAATTCAACCACATTGTCAACTTTTTTATTTCCACTTTGTTAAAGCGATAATTTTTCATTTTTGTCCTTTTTTATGATATCCAATTCACAAAGTAACAATTTTTTGACAGTAGATATTTCTTCGGAATTGTAGAATTCAACAACTGCATTTTTAAACTTTTCATTTTCGTTAGTA